GAGCTGGAAAAGCAGCTTCGTGCGAATTCCGTGTTTTTCTAGTCCAAGGGAAAGGAAAGCGGAGCCGCTAAATTGACTACTTTGTTGCCTGTGAACTCGCCGCCTGTAACCGTTAAGTCGCGGATCCCGAGCCCTGATGCTGCAGCTCCTGGCCGTGGCCGCCCGCCGCGCCCCCGCCTCTCCCTGCCTCGCTCAGCAGCGCCCCCCGAGGCCCCTGCGCCATTGGCAGGCGGGCATGGGGGCAGCTCCACCCCCGCCTCGAGCGGTGGCTTTGCCAGTTCAAGTCAGAAGGGAACCTGCAGTGACCCCCCCAGGAATCCGCCTTCGAGGACCCCAAGAGCCCCGCCGCCCCAAAGAACACCTGCCCGGAAGACAACAGGACAGGGGCCCCGCGAACCTCGCCCCTCTGGCACTTGGGGGGCTGGCAACCCTGTCTCATTTACTGTCCCCCAACACCCCTCGTGGGGGGAGATGCAGACACCTCCTGCTGGGAATCGCCCGCCCCAGAAGCCTCCAGGAGCGCAGGCGGCTCGGAGCCGCCCGGGGCGCAGATACGAGAGTCCAGTGACGTTTTCCCGGAGCCTCTAAGGTGAGCGGGGAACACCTGACTCCCAGCTGCCCCAAGGAAAACAGGAAACCTCCGGCTCGCGGGATCTGATACCAACAGTTACCCGCCTGGGAGCCGTGCTTCTGGGGACACGCGTGGGGGGGCTTCGCAGAAGACCCTCATGCCCACGCTGGCGCTGCAACCTCTCGGCCCCCCACGGAAAAAGAGAGGTTTATTTTAACACAAGCAGCTCAGCGCAAACGAAGCCACGCAGCCATTAGCCCGCCCACGGAAGGGGAGGAGACGGCTGCGGGTTTTCCAGACGCAGGCAAACGGGGCGTCCCAATTCTATCAGCCCCGATGAAACCCCAGAGAGCAGGGGGCTCAGGGCCCGAGGGAGGAGGGTGTGTCTCCTCTCGATGCATCCCGAGGCAGGAGTAACGCTGCCGCTTTGAAAGACGTCTGTTCCAACGACACGTTCTCGCCTTGACAAAGTCTCAACCCATCCACGATTATAAAGGGGGGCAGAAGTGGGTCCCCCGTAGTTCAGGATCAGGGTGCTATTTTCCCTAACCGCTGCCTTACTGCTAGTAAGAGGGGGACAGCCTGGGGAAGCGGAGGTGACCGGCCACGGAGTGCAGTGCGGGCGTCTCTGAAGGGGTGCTGCGATTTCGGGGCCCCGCGGGGTTCTCTGAACACCCGCTGCCAAAAGCGTCTCTCCCGCCTGAACTCGCGACTTCAAAGCCACAGAATCAGCGGAGTAACGGGTCCACGCGCTTCCTCTCAGGGAGGTGGATGTCCACGCGCAGTGCCGGACGCCAAGGGCGCGGCCAGGTCACCCCACTTCACAGACGGAGAAAGCAAGGCCGCACATCCAGCTCCCGCCGGACCAGCCAGAGCCGGCCTGCCGCCCCGCCCGGCGCCCCCATGCTCTCTCCACCGCGCTGCTGCCGAGCAGCGGCGCTGGCGGCTGAGGCTCGCGGCCACGTGGCTTCATTCAGAAGTCCGGCCGCCGGGCGCCGTGGCCGCGGGAGAGGGCAGGGCAGGGCAGGGCTGTTATCTTATTCGGCCCAGAGCTGGCCCGCGACAGCACCACCGCGTGCGAGACGGAAAATAAAGCCTGTGGTTTGTCAAGCCTCTCGCCGGGGCTCTAAAAATACTCCAGGGCTGTGCTCGCCGACGTCAGCCCCCAGCCCCGGCGGCCACTCACCCCGGGACGCCGCGACAGCAGCGGGGGAGCGCGAGGCGCTCCCGGCCGCAGAACCTAAATACAGACGCCGCCGGCGCTGAGCCCCTCTATCTGCCGGTGCAGACGCGCCGGCCAAATTTAGAGTAAGAGCCCTGAGGAGGAAACGCAGTTGGCGTGTTTCATGGTACAGGCAGAACCGCACGCCACGTTGGGAAGTGAGCTTCAAAACGCAGGCTTCAAGTGCAGGAAAATGGGGGTGCGTTCCCAGTACCCCTACGGCACGAGCTGACTGCTGGGAGGCTCAGACGCGCGCACGCACGCACACTCGCTGTCCGAAACCCTCCCCTGAGCCCCGAAAGAACACGCAGGAGCCCTCATTTTCTCGGGACCGCCTGCACACGTATCCACACGCGCAGAGCTGCGGCGCCCCCAACTCTCTAATTAGCCCCAGTGCCGAACCCACCTTTCTCCCCAAATGTGTCTGGGGCCTTCAGTCTTTGTCACCACGAAGACAAGCACCGAACCCTGCCCGAGTGGCCTCGGATGCTCCTCGAAGCCTCGCTGATGAGGCGTCCGGCGTGGAGGTGGCGCAGGGGGCAGAGGCCCGTGCCAGCGCCGGTGCCACCCCACTCAGGCCAAGCTCCCCTCCGTCTCGTCTCCAGGCTCCGCTGCCTCTTCCTCCCGGACCCCAGCGGGACCCTCGCCTGCCCAGGACTTGCTACTGGAGCACCCGCGGTCCCCTGCGAACCCCGGCTGTTAGCCGGGGCGTCCACCTGCCTTTCTAGTCACCCGGCTCTGCACGCGGCTTGGGCGCCTCCCTTCCCACCCGACGGACCCCAAAGCGCTCACTGCAGACACAGTGAGCTCCTTACAGATGGGGTGCGGGCACTGTGGCCGCGCTCTGCCCTTTTCCTCCTCACAGGGCCATCCCCACACCCCGTGCGTGCGGCCCCTAAAACAGCAGCGGCCCTGGGATCAGTCCCCCGCGACAGGCAGGCTGCTGTTCTGACCTCAGAACCCCGACTCCCCAGGGGAGAGGACTCACGCCGCGCGGGCACCCACAAAACAGTCGCTAACTAAAAGCGCCGCGCAGAGTGAGATGCCCAGCGCGGCGGCCTTCCGCGGGGACAGCCTTCCGAATGTACCGGCTTCAGCAGAAAGGCCTGGACCCCCGGGGCTGCAGGCTCAGCCCCAGCCTCTGCCCTCCAGGCAGGCACCAGGGCTCCGGCCCACCCTCTGCCGCCTGCCCCCTGCCTGCCCCCTGCCTGCTCCCCTGGCTGCCCCCCTGGCTGCACACCCCCCCCCTGCTGCCCCCTGCCTGCCCCCCTGCCTGCCCCCCTGCCTGCCCCCCTGCCTGCCTCCCTGCCTGCTCCCCTGCCTGCCCCCCTGCCTGCCCCCTGCCTGCTCCCCTGCCTTCCCCCCTGCCTGGCCCCTGCCTGCCCCCCTGCCTGCTCCCCTGCCTGGCCCCAGCCTGCTCCCCTGCCTGCCCCCCTGCCTGCCCCCTGCCTGCCCCCTGCCTACTCCCCTGCCTTCCCCCTGTCTGCCCCCCTGTCTGCCCCCCTGCCTGCCCCCCTGCCTGCCCCCTGCCTACTCCCCTGCCTCCCCCTGTCTGCCCCCTGTCTGCCCCCCTGCCTGCTCCCCTGCCTGCCCCCTGCCTGCCCCCCTGCCTGCCCTCCCTGCCTGCCCCTGCCTACTCCCCTGCCTGTCCCCCGCTGCCTGCCCCCTCCCTACTCCCCTGCGCGGGGAACGGTGCTATGTTCTCAGGCTGTTTTTCTGATGAGAATCAGATTTCAGCAAAATGTCCTCCCCCGGCCACCTCGACCCATCTGGGCCCGCAGCTCGGCCACGGAGCTTCCGCGGTCATGTCGCCGGCCGCAGCTAATCCCTCGGCTCCGACATACCTGTACGTGCTCGCTCAGCGCCACCGCCGGCAAAGTGACCTTGGGCCGAGAGCCCGCGTTCACGGCACGTTCTGGCGACTTGCGACTCATTTCCTTAAACGCTGACGCGCCGGCCGCCTGCTACGGCCGCGCCTCCCTCCATCCTCTATGCTCCGGTTTATTAAAAGCGTGGCGGCTTCTCCTCCACCCCGCTCCGCCACCCGCTCCTCCCCTGGCACCTCAGGCCCCACACAGGCCGGGAGGCGATGCGCCGGCTGGATGGGGCATCACGGAGCGGGTCTGTTCACTTTACCAACAAAAGCCGGACGGGTCCCGGGTCACCAAACTCACTGTGGTCACCACCTTGGAGGCCCAGCAGGTGAGACCCTAAGCCAGCCCCAGGGACAGCAGCCAGCACCCCGGTGTTGAGAGGGTCCCCTTACAAGCCAAGCCCCCCACCTCACAAGCCCTGGCAGAAACAGGGGAGGTGGAGCCCCGCCCCGCCCTCTTCTCCCTGCCCGTCCCGGCTCAGCCTCCAGAAGGCAAGGCCGCGTCCAGCTCCCCCGGGACAGCCGACGGGGACCAGAGGACACCACCGGCCCGTCCCACCTCGCTGTTCCGGAAAAGCCCGAGCCGCCCCCCAGGGCTCCTCCCAGCACCTGTTCTGTCCGCACCTGCTGGACGCCGCCTGGGCCGCCAGGGGCGCCCTTGATGGGCCTGGGGTGGCCGACGGCCACACCTCAACCTGCTCAGGTGACGGCGGAGGGCAGTCCGCCCCAGCGCAGCCGCCCTCCGGGCCACACCCCAGCCAGCACCAGAATCCCCGGGCTCGCCCAGCCCTGCCACCACCCTCCGGGGCTCCCCTCTGGGGCAGGCGGGGAGCACAAGCTGGAGAACCACCTCCAGAAAGCCTGGGACGCCAGGTCACCCGCAGCCCCTCAGGAGACGCTCCCTGACCCAAGGGCCCCGGTTTCTGTAGGGCCAGTTAAACAGCCAGCGGCTGCCCGACCCCCGAGAGCACCCGGGCCCGGATGATGAGCCCCGCGGCTCGGCCAGAGCGGGGCCCAGGCGAGGGGGCTGAGGCCAGGGCGGGTGCACCGCGGTGCTTCCCAGGGACCTGGGGTCGGAAGGCCGCGGCCCCCTGGGCTGCGGAGCCCGTGCCGGCGCGACCAGGAGGGCCCTGGGGCGCGAGGGCCGGTTGGACGAGGGGCCATCCAGCCTGGGGGGGAAGCCCCGCGTTTACCCGCAGCAGCCACAGGGGCTGGGCCAGGGGACGAGGGCCCCGACGCATCACCTGGGGTGGTGCCGCCGCACCGTGGCACCCGGGTCCCCGCCCCAAGGGGAAGGATCCTCCCGCCCCCCCGCGGCAGGCCCCGGGCCTCACCTTTCACCGCGGCGGCCTCCTTCAGGTGGTGGGACAGGAAGTCGATGCTGGCGTAGGTGCTGGCGGGCGGCAGGGTGCCAGGGCCCGCCCCGCACATGCCCGCGGTGCCGCCGCCCCCCACGGCACCGATGAGGCCGCCGAGGCTCCGGGCCCGGCCCCAGCCGCTCTTGTCCCCGGGCTGCGGGGGCGGCTCGTCCCGCACGTCGATGGCGATGTAGTTGAGCCCGTTCTGGAAGCCGGCAGAGGTCTCCCGGCGCATGGGGGAGCTGCTGCCCCCCGGGCAGCCGACCAGGCCCCCGGGCTGTCCGGGCGTCCAGGGCCGCGCGGGCTGGGGGTGCTGGGGCTGCACCTGGCGGGGGGACACGGGCGGCGGGTCCTCGCCCCCTGCCAGGACGGCAGCGCCGCTGCCGCCCTCGCTGCTTTTCCTGAGAGAGACGTTTTCCACGGAGGCCGAGTTGTGGCGCTTAGGGTTGTGGGCGAAGGAGGGGGACACGGGGGTCACAGTGGTGGTCGAGGAGAAGGTCTCGGAGCTGTGGCGGCGGCGGCCGCCCTGCGGGTCCGCGCGGATGACCTTGGCGCCCCGGTGCGGGTCTGGGGGCTGGCCGGCCTGCAGGAAGGCCTCCACCCCGGACACCTGATCCATGAGGCTCAGCCGCTTCATGCCGGACGTGGGGCTGGTCACGCGGGCACCTTCCGGCTTCGGGGGCGCGGCGATGGGTTGCGGCGGGGTGGCGGCCACGCCAAAGGCCATCTCGGTGTAGTCACCAGTGTCCCCAGTCTCCGAGGACGAGGAGGAGGCAGCGCCGGGGCCCTGGGCGGCGGCCACCGGAGGCCGGCGGTACAGCTCCCCCGGCGGGGGCGGAGGCAGGGCGGCCGGCTGCAGGGGGGCGCCGTGGGCGGACGGGCGCGGGGGCAGCGGCGGGTACGGCAAGGGACACTCCGGGGACAGCAAGGCATCCAAGGAGCCCACCGGGTCCCTGCTCTGGGCGGCCGGCCTGGGGGACCTGGGCGAGCTGAAGTCGAGGTTCATGTAGTCGGAGAGCGGGGAGCGCTGCCGGCTGTCGCTGCTGGTGCCCGGGGTGCCCGAGCCCAGGGAGGAGGCCGGGCTGCTGGCGGACAGCAGCGAGGACGACGAGGCGGCAGAGGCCAGCAGCGGCGGGGCGGGCGACAGGCGCACGCCGGCCTCGCCGAAGTCGATGTTGATGTACTCGCCGGGGCTCTTGGGCTCGGGCGGCAGCGGGTACTCGTGCATGCTGGGGAGGGTCTGCAGCCCCTCCAGGGACAGGCGCGTGGGCCGCACCGCGCGGCAGCGCTGGCTCAGGAAGCCCTCGGGCCGGCCGCCGCCCGGCCTGGCCGCCGAAGGCACTGCGGGGTGGACAGTCGGCGCGGTCTGGCCGCCGGCCGCAGGGGTCAGCGGGCCGGCCCGCGGCTCCAGCCGCTCCTCCTCCAGGATGCGCCCCACGGGCGAGCTCATGAGCACGTACTGGTCGCCGGGGCAGGCGAAGGGCGCCTTGGGGGCGCGCGGCAGCGAGCCGCAGCAGCAGCCCGGGAAGCCCGGCAGCGCGTCGCCGCCCGGCCCGTGCAGCGCGGCGGGGAAGAAGTCGGGCGGGGTCCCCGCGGGGCCCGCGTCGCCGGGGGACATGTTGAGGTAGTCCCCGTTGGGCAGCAGCCTGGCGTCCGCGCCCTCCGCGGCCAGCCTGGCGCCGCACCACATGCGCATGTACCCGCTGTCCTCGGGCGAGCTCTCGGCCGGCGAGCTGGCCTTGCCCGCGGGGCCCAGGAAGGCGCGGCCGGCGGGGGCGGCGGGCGGGGCGCGCGGCTGCAGGATCTGCTGGGGCGCGGACACGCTGGTGGGGCTCATGGGCATGTAGCCGTCGCCCCGCAGCGCCGCGCCGGGCGTCATGGGCACGTAGCCGTCGTCCGCGCCCTGGGGGCCGCCGGAGCCGCGGCGGGCCCCGATGCGCACGTCGCCGTAGTCCTCGGGGTAGGGGTGGTAGGCGGCCTGCGGCGAGGACGCGGGGCAGGCCGGGCAGAGGCGGCCCGCGCTGCCCGCGCAGCTGGCGCGCATGAGCGTGTACTCGTCCAGCGAGGCCGAGGACGGCTGCGGCGCGGGCCGCTGGCGGGCGGGCGCGGTCAGCGAGTAGGTCCTCCTGCGCAGCGCGCGCTCCAGGTCCGCGGCGCCGTCCCCCGAGACGCGGCGGGGCGCGCGGCCGCAGGGGCCCCCCGGGGGCCGCTCCATGCTCATGTAGCCGCGCAGCTCGGCCGGCGGGGGCGTCCCGGCGGCGGACTCGGGCGTGTCGCTGCGCGGGCCGCAGAGCGCGCGCGGGTCGCCGGGGCTGGAGCCGTACTCGTCCAGCGACATGAAGCCGGGGTCGCTGGGCGAGCCCGAGGCCGAGGCGCTGCCGCTGGAGGGCCGCGGGCCCGCGGGCAGGGGCGGCGCGGGCGGCAGCGCGCCGGGCGGCGGCGGGTAGGAGCCCGAGCCGTGGCCGCTGCTGGACGACAGGCTGCCGGGGCTGGCGGCGGCCGGGGGCGAGCGCGCCACGGGCATGGACATGGAGCGGCTGTGCTGCAGGCCGCCCCCTGCCGGCGCCGGCGCCGCCCGGCCCGCGCGCCCGCCGCAGCCGCCGCTCAGGGTGTGCGAGCGGCTCAGGGGCGCGCGCGCGGGCGCGGGGCTCAGGGGGCTCCCCGCCGCCGACCCCGGCCGCGCGCCCGCCGGCCCGCCCCCCGCCGCCGCGCCGCCGTCGCCCTCGCTGGCCGTGCGCACCCGGCAGGCGCCGCACGGGCCGGCGGGCGGGGTGGCGGCCAGGCTGTCGGTGCGCGAGCGGCGCACCAGGCCGGTCTGGCTCGGGGGCAGGTTCACCAGGTGGTGGTGGCGCCGCGCGCCGGGCACGCTGATGGGGTGCGTGGCCGACGAGCCCGACGACTGGCTCTTGCTGCGCGGCCGGAACTCGAAGAGCTCCTTGAGCGCCTTCATGGCCTCCAGGATGGTCTCGTGGATGTTCTGCGCCACCACCGAGTCGTCCGCCTGCATCCACAGCTCGCCGGGCCCGTGACGGCCGAGCGGCCCACCTCGATGAAGAAGAAGCTGTCCGAGTGGCCGCAGCGCCGGATGTTCATGAGCTGCAGCGTCACCGACGGCTGCTCGCAGTTGAGCTTCACGAAGCCGACGGTGCGCGCCGACAGGCACAGGCGGTACACGCCCGTCAGGTTCTTGCTCTGGCCCAGGCCCTTGGGCTTCAGGTTCACCTGCCACACCTCGCGGTAGGCGGCCGCGCCGGGCGCGCCGGGGCCCCCGTAGCCGTCGTCGGCGCCCGCCGAGCCGCCCAGCGCGCCGGGCAGGGAGGCGCTGCAGGACGCGGCGCTGGCGGCGGCCGGGGGCGCGTCGGCCGCGCGGCGCTCGCTGACCAGCTCGGTGAGCGCGCGGTACCAGCCGTCCTGCTCCTGCTCGTTCTCGGCGGCCACGGCGAAGTACTCGTCGCGCGTGTAGAGCGCGATCAGGTACTTGTGCTTGGCGTCCGCGCGCTTGTTGATGTTGAGGCAGCAGTCGAGCGCGATGACCCGCTTCGGGGCGCCCGCCTTGCTCCGCCACTTCTTCTCGCTCTCGTAGTACTCGAGCCGCGGCGGCTGCGGGGCCGCGCCCCCGCCCGCGCCCGCGCCCGCCTCGTCGCCGCCCGCGCCGGGCCCGCGCAGCACGAAGAAGCGCTTGTGGCCGTGGCGCTGCTTGCGCAGGTAGCCGCACTTGCGCACGCCGTGGTTGTTGTTGTTGTTGTTGTTCAGGTTGGGCGCCCCGGCCGGCGGCGGGCTCGCCATGGCGCGCTCCGGGCCGCGCCGCCCGGCCGGGCCGGGCGCGGGGCGCGGGGCGCGGGGGCCGCGGGGGCGCGGGGGCGCGGCTGCCTCCCGCGCCGGCCCGCCCGGGCGCGCGGCCTCGGGCCCGCGGGGGGTCGGCGCGGCCCCCGCGCGCGCCGGTTCCGAGGCCGCGGGCTGCGGGCGCTCGGGCGGCGGCCGGGCCGAGCGCCGGGGTCCCCGCGCCGGGCCGAGCTAGGGCGCGCGCCGCCGCCCCGGGCCCGCCGCCGCGCCGCGCTCCGGGGTGCTGGGGGCGCCCGGGCGCCCGGGGCCCGCGCCGCCGCCGCCGCCGGGGCTGCTGCTGGGGCTGCTGCTGCGGCCGCCGCTGCCGACGGCGCCCCCGGCTCGTCGCGGTCCCCGCCGCGCGGTGAGTAACACATCGCGCGCGGCGCTGCACCGAGAGCAGCAAAACAACACGTGACGCGTGACGCGCCGCGCCCCGCCCCGCCGCGCGCATTGGCGCCGCGGCCCCCGACGGACGGCGCGCGCGGCCAATGGGCGCGGGCCGGGGGGGGGCGGGCCGCGCCCCCCCGCCCCCCTCCGGGCGCGCTTCCCGCCGTCCCCTCCCCCCCACCCCCGCGGGTCGGGCCCGGCCGGCCGGCGGGCGGGGGCGGCGCCCCATTAATCAGAGGCTCGTTGTGGAGCCGGCGGAGGCGCCGCCACCCAGGGCGGGCGCGGGGCGGGGGCGCGGGGCGCGGGGCGGGGGGCGGGGGCGCGGCCCCCCCGCCCGGGACGCAGCTAATTGGCCCCGAGCTTCCGCCGGGCGCGGGGGCGGGGCGGGGGCCGGCGAGGGGGCCCGGCCGGGGCGTGGGGGGCGCTGGGCGTGGGGGGCGCTGAGCGCGGCCGGGGCGGACGCCGCCCGCCCCAGCCCCTCTGGGGGGGCGCAGGGCACCCCGGCTGGGGAGGGCGCGCCCGGTGCTCCCGCGCCCGGCCCGCGGCTTGTTTACGCGCAGCCGCCGGTCCCCGCGAGCCGCGGGCGGTCGGGGCGCCCCTTCCCGGAAGGAGAGCGGGGGGCGCCCCCACCCCGGCCGCGCGGCTCCCGCCCGCCCGGGCCCGCCCCCCGCCCCCGCCCCCGGGCCGCGCGGGCCCTTTCCGGGGCGTCCGCGGCGCCATTCACCGCGGGCTCCGGGGAGTGGGAGCCGCCTGCGCGGGACGGAACCGGGGGGCGGGGCGGGGCGGGGCGGGGGGCGGCTTCCAGAGCGCGGGGGGAGGCGGGCTCGGGCCTGGACGCCGCGGGGAGCGGGGAGCGGGACCCCGCGGCGGGGCCCGGGCGCGGGGATGGCGGCTCCGACCCGCGCGCCCTGGGCGGGCCTTGACCGGCCCCCGGAGACGCCCTTGGAGAGGCGCTGGCGAGGGCTGCACCCCGGGCGGGGGACGCCCCGAGCCACTGCGCAGGAGGCCCCGCAGCGCCGGCCCTGCAGGCCCGGGGGCCCCGCTCGCCCCCGGCCCGGCTCCGCAGGAAGGGGCCAAATAAATCAAACCTTTGTCTGCTCCCTCCACGGCCGCGTCCTCGTGAAATAACTGGAAACAATTAATGTTGGTGGGTTTACCGAGCCCTGGGAGTTTGCGTTGAATGCCCTTCCCGTCGACGAAAGTCTCTATTTTAAATGTAATTAAATCTAAGGAAAATAATTTGATTGTGGTTTTGGAGAGGGTGGCGCGCTTTAAGCCGCCTTGTAAACGCGCGCCTGGAGATTCTGCCAGGTGATTCCGCCGCCCAGGGGACCCCAGACAGACAGACAGACAGACAGACAGCGTCTTTATTTGAGCAGGACACGGTCAGGCTTATTGGGAAGAGCCAGTCTGGCATCTAATTTGCCCTGAAGAGGTAAATTTAGAGTCCGTCTTCCTTTTCCGCCAGGTCTGCAGCAGTGCGCTTTAAAGTGTGCGCTGCGTGTGCACTGCCTGCGTGTGCGCTGCCTGCGTGTGCGCTGCCTGCGTGTGCGCTGCCTGCGTGTGTGTGCTGTCTGCGTGTGCGCTGCCTGCGTGTGCGCTGCCCAGCGTGCCCGTGCGGCGGTGCCTGGCTGTGTGGGCCGGGAGCCGCCTTGACGGACATCGAACTTGGGTTTTCTCCTCTTTTTGGTGCTTTTCGCGTCACTAGACGTGGGGAGAGGAGGGACTTCTCGTGGAGCAGGCGGGACCCGAGCGCCATTTGATGGCCCTGGCGATGCTTACAACCCGTGTGACAGGTGTGGACGGGCCTGCCCTAGCCAGTGTCCCGGGACAACCTCTCTTTAGCACCTCGGGATAAGGATTTCTTCTGGAAAAGCCTCTTTGACCACTTTCATTTTTTATGATGTTGACTTTTCAGCCAAAGTCTGATTTTCAGGTATTCACTGAATATTTGAGAGTTGGGCCCATCGGATGCCAACAAGTGTCATCTTCGGCGTGTTTATTGCAGTGTTAAATGTCGCTTTTTCACGTGCAGGTGTCAGAAGCTCTCAGCTGGCAGCTGGCGCTGCCCCCCAGCCCCCCTTGGGCCCTGAAGCAGAGGCAGAGGAGGGAGTGGTGAAGACGCACCACCTTTCTCACCAGGCTTCACCCCGAACATCACAAACCTGGCAGCTCTGTGCCATTCTGAGTCCAGGACCCTCGCAGCACGCGTGGGGGAGGGGCCGTCCATCCTCCCAGACAAGGCCAGGACACCAGCCGTGTCTGTCATTCGAAAGTCCCCGCCCTCTTCGGCAGAGGAGCTCGTGGTATTTCTCCTTTTCTATCGCCAAATAAGCTATTTATTTATTGCAAGCTTGCTCGGCACCTATGATTTTCCAACTGTTCTCCCATACTTTTTCAACAAAAGTCAGCTCCCAACACCTGCCAGCTTGCTCTCGGCGCCGGCCTGGGTGCCGCTCCCGTGGCCCGTTGCCAGCCAGCCGCCCGGATGAAGCTTCTCCTGCTCCAAGATCTTTCCTTGGAAGCTCCTTTCTTTTCACAAATAACCAAATGGCCCTATCTTTCAGCAAGGAGTGTTTTTGCTTGTTTGTTTTTACACAGAATTGTACTCAATGATTCCTTAACTAAAACATAGCGTCTTTCTGGAATAATTTAATTGCCTTTCATAAAGTAGCCAGTTTCATAAAATGCAGAGATTAAAAATGCCCCGCAAATTCATAATACAGATAATTCATTACCATAAATTTCATTAACTCTCCTCTCTGTTTTGTAAATGAAAAGCCTGCTCAGGAGAAAGGTAAATGGCATTTAAGTGCTTGTGAGCTGTTTTTTTTTTTTTTTTTTTTTCCCAGTTTGTAGCCGATGGCCCAGTGGAATACTAGACGGCCAGTTAGAAAAACTTTCATTTACAATGTGGTTTTGGAGGTACAAATTTTAACTTCAGAGGTTGCTGTCACTGGGTGTATCTAGGTTGTAAACAGAGTGGCAGCATATTTTATTAAACATTTTCCTTTATTAAATAAATATTTTGGTAGCTCATCTAATCAATTTCCTTTTCTCTAATGAGTGACTTTACAAACGCAGACTTTTTCTGATCCAGAACTCACAAAAGGGACATCCTACACTCGGCCAGCTGGGTCTTTTTCACAAATATATTTGCTAACATGTTTCAACTGACATTTCACAAGAATTTTGTAACATGCCAATTATGTGCAAGAATGATTTACAAGAAAGAATGTAACCGCTCTGGATCATTCACTGCCCTGTGAGGTGCTGCAAAGGGCTCCATGCAAGAAATACAAACTGGGTCCTATCACTTCTTTGGCAATTATGAAGACCTTCCACTTTCATATTTATTTGGACCCTCCAGTGATCTTTCTGAAATACTCATTTGGTGGCAAGGGATTTTCTAAAATACTGGTCATTTCATTATCATTTACTCTTAAAATAATTCTTTTGAAACATGTTTGAATTGAATGGAGAGTTTAGAAAATTTGACATTTATATAGTAAGGCACAAGCATAGGTGACCCAATACTCAAAGCATTTTCATTTGAAATATAATTATGTTGGAAAATAAAAACATAACCAACTGATTACAAAGTGAGCGGTTAATAACTTAGAATTCTTAATTATCTTAGTAAGAATAATTAACTTTAATTCACCTATGGAGTGTACTGTGTTTGAATTTTGAGAATGCATTTTTAGATTAAAAAAAAACAACAGAAACTATTTTCCCAAAAGCCTTTCCATGATGGAGACGAAAATGTCACAGTAATGACGGCGTGACGTCACTGAACCATAAAAAACAAAGAGGTTCCTTCTTAGAACATCCTTCTTCGGTGGAGCCCCCGGCCCCTTCACATGACACACTCACGTTTTGCATGTCTGAGGGCTGCCTGCTCGTACATGCTGTTCATGCCGGAGCTGCTGGGTTGAGCCTTTTTGTCATCACGGAACAAAATTGTCCGCTTCTCAATCTGCAGAGCAGGAGCAGGTGACAGAAAAGAAGCCTCTAGAATGACACAGCTATATTTCCGGGGAAGGGGGGGGCAGCAGGGAGGCTGATGTGGGAGTGTCCTTGAGCGAAGCACGAATGGTTGGCAGGGGCGGCTCAGCCTGCGTCCACCGATTGCACTGTTTGTTCCAGGAGCAAACTTTCGCCCTGTTTGTGCAAACTGCCGGGGGTGGGAGGACAGGGCCCACCCCACCTTGGCCGGGCGCCTGGGGAGCCGGAGTCTGAAATCGCCCGCTCTTCTGCCGTGGCTGGGTGCTGTTTCTCCTGGCTTGCCTTGGAGCTGTTTGCTAGAGTTGTTTTGAAATCCAGCCTGAAGGTAACAGAGGAAATGTGCCCGCTCTGGTGAATGCTGCCACCCACTGGCTGCGCTCCCGCCCGCCGGGCTGCGCCGAGAGCCGGCCTTGCTGCAGAGGGGCTGCAGCAGGTGCACCGTGGCCTTGCGCAGGTCTCCGAGACGTTTTCAGGAACAATATGAGATAAAACAAAGAAATATCGATGGCGAGGAAGGGCGATAGGAGGTGACAAGTGAGGAACTTGCCTTTCTGCGTTTGGGTGAG